CTTGAGCTTTCAGCAGCTCATCTTCTCGCAAAGTTAGTCTCAAAAATTAAAAACACATTAAATATTGACATTTATAGAACACTTTATTTCACTGATTCAACGATCGTTCTTTCGTGGCTAAAAATTGAACCCTCAAAACTAAAAACTTTCGTTGCCAATCGAGTTTCAAAAATTTTGGAAATCTCAAATTTTAATGAATGGAGACACGTACGATCTAAAGAAAACTCTGCAGATATTATAAGTCGAGGGGTAAATCCAACTGAATTGTTAAACAATAGTATGTGGTTTAACGGGCCACAATTTCTAAAAGACGACACCTACCTAAGCTCGAAAATCACGGACTATTCTTATAAACTTGATTTAGAGAAACTTCCGGAAATGAAAAATGTTAGTCTCGTTGTAAATACTGTAGAAAAACCGACACTCGAAATTGAAAATGAAAATTTTGATTTATTTGACAAATATTCAAAACTCGATAAACTCAAAAGAATTATAGGGTACATTGTAAGATTCAAAAATGGAACATTAAATAAGATAATAAAATCTGGAGAAAGTTTAAGTGTTTCAGAGTTAAATGAGGCTAATTTGATTTTAATTAGAGTCGCTCAAAATGAGGCATTTAAACAAGAAATATCAGATCTTAATAAAGGTAAACAAATAAGTAGTAGTAGTCCTATTTTAAGTCTTCATCCTTTTCTCGATCAAAGCAAAGTTTTAAGAGTTGGTGGCAGACTGACTCACGCAGTACATTTAAATTATGACCAGCAACACCCTGTAATTTTGCCATATAAAAGTCGTATCACGGAACTGATAGTTTTAGATGAGCATTTGTACAATATTCACGCGGGATGTCAAACATTACTCTCCATCATAAGACTAAAATATTGGCCTATCAAGGGTAAGAATATAGTTAAGAAAGTAATTAAATCATGCGTTAGATGTACTAAAGCCAACCCTAAACCCGGTAATTTTTTAATGGGAGATCTACCTCTTAATCGTGTCACGCCTAACCGACCTTTCAGTAGCGTAGGTGTAGATTATGCCGGACCTATTTATGTTAAAGAAAACACGTCTCGTCGTAGTAGGCTCGTAAAAACATATGTGTGCGTATTTGTATGTTTTGCAACTCGAGCTATTCATATCGAGTTGGCTTGCGATTTATCGACAGATAGCTTTCTTCATTGTTTAAAACGATTCTGTGCTCGTCGAGGAAAACCTATCAATATTTACTCAGATAACGGGTTAAATTTCGTTGGCAGCAACAATTATTTTCTTGAGCTTCAAGAATTAATAAATAGTCCATCACACGAAAAAAGCGTTAAAAATTTCTTAGCACCCGATAAAATTAACTGGAGCTTCATTCCCGCTCGTTCAGCTCATATGGGCGGCCTGTGGGAAGCAGCAGTAAAGTCCCTGAAGTTTCACTTGAAGCGAGGCTTGGGAAACGCAAATTTAACCTATGAAGAAACGTATACATTGTTAGTACAGATCGAGGCTGTACTAAACTCTCGTCCTCTCACCCCATTGTCTAATGACTTAAACGATTTTCAACCCCTTTGTCCTTCTCACTTCCTCATCGGGAGCTCTCTCGTACTACCACCTGATGAAGACGTCAGAGACATAAAAATGAACCGTTTGACCCGATACCAACGATTAAAGCAAATATTCCAGCATTTCTGGGACTGATGGTCTTCGGAATATCTGTCCACTCTACAAAATCGATCCAAATGGAAAAAAGAGACAGTCGATGAAATAAAAATCGGATCGATGGTTGTCCTAGTAGAGGACAACTTGCCTCCCCTCAAGTGGTCAATGGCACGTGTGGTGCAGCTTCACCCTGGTTCCGATCACATTACTAGGGTAGTGTCAGTTCGCCTACCAAGCGGAGCAATTACAAAAAGATCGTTGAAAAAGATATGCCTTTTACCAACAGAATAAAGACTTATATAAACTATTTAACTGTCAGCAGTGTTGCAAACATTTCAAGTGTGTCAAGTGCTAAACTTTCATTTCGAAAACTTAAAACTTTTCAACGGGGGCGATATGTTTGGACATTCAAATCTATTTGAACATTCAAATCAAATTTCTTATATCAGACTGTTATATTGAACAAAAGTGTAGCAACATTCTTAAACATGGCAACGCCGTAATAAACCTAGCAACTCAAAAGGATCTGGCAACGCGCAAGAACAGCTGCAGGAAGAACGGCAAGCGACCAATAGGATCGCTCAGCGCGACCAATAGGATCGCTCGGCGCGACCAATAAGGAGAGACGGATTCGAGAGCATGTCACGACATCACGTTATTATTGTTTGACTAATAATCAATTAAAAATTCGTTTTGTACCGCAATAAATGGTTAATCAATAATTCAAGTATTAATTCTCGTTAATGTGTTTGGGTTCCCTTTGACCTATAATAAAGGGTGGTCCTTCGAAAGTCCTCAACAGAGGATCACTAAGAAACACTATAACTTAAAACAGTATATTATGTTGTCAATTTCCTCCAAAGTGTAAGATATGAATCCCAACAATTTTGAACATTTTTGGTCATATAATACTCCAAGATCTTTGATTGTGTAGATACTATTAATATTCATATTGTTGACAGAGTAATTGAATATCGAGAAACAATTATTTTGTACACCACAAATTAAAATCGCAAAGATCTTGCTAAATCTTGAGACAGTGTGTACCTAATATCTTCATCCATCTAAAATAATTTGAAATCATCTTGAAAAATTAAAAAAGTGACATTTTCTCGGGCATTTTCTATGCACTGACATAAATCTTAATGAAAAGTTTAAAAGATTGAATAATAATGGCGATAGGTGACCCTCTTGTGATACCCCCAAGCAAGCTCTAATAGAAAAGAATTGACAATCATTAATTAATAACTTTCCAACCACCCAAGATAACTTGCAAATAAGCCATATAGCGATGGTTTCTTTAGAAGAATCTGATGATTAATCCTATCAAAGGCCTTTAAGAAATATGTGTAGATTGCATCTACCTGACTGAGATTTTCCAAAGCCCCTGACCAATACTGAGTATACTCTAGTAGATTACTTATAGTCTTGCTTATAGTTGACATCCCACCACAAAAGCCATGTTGACTTTGATTGATGTGTGGCTCTAGAAGAGGAGTAATTTCATTAGTGACAATCTGCTCAAAAATCTTACCAAATAAACATATTTTTGAAATTGCACGATAGTTTTCAATTTTATCCTTTGTCCCGCTTTTAAAGATAGGTGTAACAAAACTTGCTTTCCATTTCTTAGGAAACATTCCAGAAATGAATTTTATGCAGAATTGGAGCAAGAATAAATCAACAATTGAATATAAAATCATGTGGGATACCATCTGGCCCGTTACCTAATGTTTTTTCCAGTTTCTAAATATTCTTCAAAGTGCTCTTCCCATTGCTAGGGTGTTATTGTATTGATACTAACCTTGGTTTTTGTTTTCCTAATGTTTTTTGGTAATCTGCAACTTTCTGTGTTTCTTTTACCTCTCAGATAAGTATCAGTATATAAGTATACAAACAGTTTCGTTCCCATGACTCGTTTTTTTTCTGTACTATTTTATTCCGGACTCATGCTTGTGCTTCTTTATATAATATTTCTTTGTCTAGTGTCTTATTTGAACTTAGATACTGTTGGTATTTCTTCCTTTTATCTGCTATGTTTTTCTCTATTTCTTGATCCCACCAATAAGGTGAGGGCCTTCTTCCATTTTTTTTCGTATTTGCCTATGGCTTCAAAGTTCAAATGCTGCACTGTGAATACTCTCTTTGATATGGTAGTAATGCATTTCAAGGTTTTGGAAGTTCATACTAATCATACTACATACTGTGTAACTTTTGATTTACTCTCCTCATGTACAATCCCTTAACGCTTTGTTCTTCTAGAGATTTTAGGTTGTATTTCTCACGTAAAATATTGTCTTTTTGTTTTTTCACTCCGTTTTCTTCTGCGGTGTTTCTGCCCGGGATAAAGATTTTTGTTTTCAGGAGGTAGTGATCGCTACCACAGGTCGCTTTTCTATATGTTCTCACATTCTGGAATTTTATGTTCGGTCTTTGTTTTGCGATAGTGTAGTTAATAATCGATTTTTGTTGTCTAGTTTTATTTTTCCATATTGTGTACTTATGTATTTCTTGATGCTGAAAGTAACAGTTTAGGATTTTTAGGTTATTTTGTTAGCATATTGCTATGAGCCTCTCTCCATAGTTATTCGTTACATTCTCTACAAATTTTCCGACTAGCTTGTCGTTGATTTTTCTTCTTGTTCGTCCGTTAAAGTCTCCTACTTTTATGATTTGGTCACTGAGTTGTTGATAAAATGAATTCTTTATATTAACGGGTTCGCCGTCGTTTACTCCATATATTCTCAAGAATGTTATTTTCCTTTTGAATATACATACATTTATTTTCATTATTGTTTCATTTACTGCTTCTCATGATGTTATATGTCTCATTTTTCTGTAAGATTGAGATTACTTTCTTCGCTCTGAATTGAACCTTGCTGAAGAAATGATCGTACTCTTTTCCCAGATTTTCTGAGCACTGTCCTTTCTTTTTGGTCTCTGTGGCGACAAGCAGGTCCATTTTTTGATATTCTATCTCCGATCTCACTTCATTTATTTTTCTAGAGATTCCTTCAACGTTCCATGTACCGATACTCATTGTCCGTTTCCGTTTCCTATTTCGTCTCCGTTTTTCGGTTCTTTTCCGAGCCTGTTGATCGGGTCTTTTAACGGTCTACATTTTTTCCGAGTAATGGGGAGTTAGCCCGATGCCTCAACCCCCTACCAGGAGGACCCGGTAATTTGTGATCAAGGTTGTCTTCCTCTAGCCTTTGATGCTAACATCCAGCTACAAGGCAGCAGCTTCTTTGCCACTTTACTTCCAACTACATAAATTTTATTTTCCTATTTTAAACTTTGGTTAAATATTTTTCCTACTCCTACCGCATAGATAAAGTTATTATCTTTGACCCACTGGTATTTTAATAGTAGTGTCTATTAATAAATGTTTTTTTTCAAAAAAAGGTCTCGGCACAAAGCGGCAACACAGTCACTCTGGTAGAAGTAAATTCAGACCTTCTCAAAAAAGCGCAAAGCAGCATCGCAAACAATTTATCCCGAGTAGCCAAGAAACTCCACAAGGATGACCCGAACGCGGCTCAGAAGTTTGTCGAAGAAACTCGAAGCAGAATTCGTGGTGCAACGGATCCAACTGAGGCAGTACAAGATGCCGATCTTGTAGTGGAAGCTATTGTGGAAAATATAAAAATCAAACACGATTTGTTCAAGGCTCTCGATAAGGCTGCTCCTGTCAAAACTTTGTTTGCTTCAAACACTAGTTCATTGTCTATTGGAGAAATTGCATCAGTTGTTAATAGGAAGGATAGGTGAGAAGAATTTTATTTGTACAATCAATATTCATGCTTTTGTGATTTCAGATTTGGTGGTCTACATTTCTTCAATCCAGTGCCCGTAATGAAACTTTTAGAAATAGTAAAAATTCCAGAACAATCTGAAGAAACTTACCAGGCATTTTTATCTTGGGGCAAATCCATTGGAAAATCTTGTGTCACTTGCAAAGACACTCCCGGATTCATAGTCAACAGATTATTGGTACCTTACATTGCTGAAGCCATTAGAATGTTGGAAAGGGGCGAGGCCTCTCCAAGAGACATTGATACTGCCATGAAATTGGGAGCGGGCTACCCGATGGGACCCATCGAGCTGGCGGACTATGTGGGTCACGATACCATTTCCTTTATAATGGACGGATGGCATCAGAAATTCCCTGATAATCCTCTTTTCAAGCCAAGTGTTTCTATGAAAAAGTTGGTGGAAGAAAAAAAGTTGGGAGTTAAAAGCGGAGAAGGGTATTATAAGTATAATAAGTAACAAATTATTTTATGATTGATTTTGTTTCAATTTTATCAAAAACTTTTTGCTTATGAATTTTGTTTAGATTGATAGCTACTGCTTGTTTTTATATATATATATTATACACTACTTTATATTATGTTAAGCTCAAATGAATAAATTTTACAGTTTACCTTCATTTAAGCATCAAATCCAGTTAATTACCAATTAGCATCATTCTTAATTTTACCTCCTATTATTTCGGTAATATTATAATATTTGATTTTTGAATCCTCCAAAAAGGTATAATGGGTGTCCAGAATAACTTGAAGTACCTAAGGAATTTGAAAACCATTGAAGATACAGAGTGGACCAAATGAGGAAAAAGTTGTGCAATTAAGTGCCTATAAATAATCTGTCATCAACTTGTTTGAACTCGAAATAGTAACAGATATACAGAGCAAAAAAGAAAAAAGTGCTTCTTAGATCTTGTTGATTATAAAAGATACAATCTAGTTGATGACAGATTATTTGTAAACAATTCTTGATTGCGCAATTTTTTTCCCATTTGGTCCACTCTGTATCTTTAATGGTTTCCAAAATCCCCATGTTCTTCAAGTTATTCCGGACACCCTCTATTAAGAAAACTGGAACAATAATTATCTTAGCATAATTATAAGTTTTGATAGGTCTACAAAAATGACTCTTAGGTGCATTCAGGGTTTCAATTTCTAGATAAATATTGTTGAGACTTTTTTAAAATTCAATAAGAAAGTTTTATCCTTGAAGCGCCATATTTTGAAAACTATTGTAGCAAACAAAAATACAAATATAAACACCAACATTTTTAGACTATTCACCAAGTAATCAATGAGTTTTTCTGATAATCAAAATTCTCAGTGGGAATAAAATGTCTCTTGATATAGGTACACAAATATACCTATTTTTTGGGTTTACTCATAAATAAAATTTCATTTTAAATCAGGTTTAAACAAGTATTATATTGTAATATTGACCTTTACGGAAAAGTGTCTTTTATTCACTTTTTCATATACAAATTTTAACTTTAAAAATCACATTTATTTTATTATAAAATTTTCAAAATATTATACATACTTATTACAAAAAAAAAAAAATACTGATTTTTTTAAACTCGTGTATAGTTATTACATAATTTTTATAAAACAATTGAAATGGAACTGGCAGTGTACCTACATTTAGAAGATCCTAAAATTAATATTTTTTAAAGTTACGTGCGAATCTCCTATTTTTTGGAACGCCGTATTCTGAAAATCCTGTCGATCCTTGTACATCATTGTCAGCACTAGCAACATTTCCTGAACAACAATCCTGACTAGCAGCAGTGTTTTCTACAGTGGTAAACTCCTCAGAATTTTCTGGTACAGTTTCGGCGCCACTGGTGCCGCTAGCAATAACAGTACTCAAAGTAAAACCACTCAAAGAATCAACAGCGCTTTGACCGAAACTTGCTGGAGTTGGGGATTGAGAAACTAATCCTTGGTCAGCAGTTACTTGTACGTTGACACCACCTTCACTGTTTTGCTCTACTGAAGTTTGTTGTCCACCAATTCTACTGTCAATAGTTGCGGTATTGGCTCCCAAAGAGTCCAAAGAAAAACTTCCAGAAGTTGCTGTGGCGCCAAAACCGGTGCCTACAGATGTTAATGAAGCGGCACCTCCATATCCTCCAGAAGAGGAAGAAACTCCACTTACGCTGCCTCCATATCCTCCGGAAGATAATGACGCGGCACCTCCAGATAATCCAATTCCGCTCAAAGATCCAATATCTACTGATGAAGGGTTGTGCACTATTGAGCCATCGGGAGATTGGAATGCTGCTTGAGTGCCAGCAGGTAAATTAGCAATAACTTGACCAGTAGCTCCGTGTTTGTTTTGAATTTCGGCAACAGCGTTTTCGGCTTCTTTTTGTGTTTTGTATTTGATGAAGAACACTTCGGGTTTGGTGGGTTGAGTTGGGGCAGCTTCTTTGAAGTGTATTTTGGGTTGACCTTCGGGTTTCTTAACCAAAACGTAGACGAGGGTTTTTTCTTCGTTTTGTGGAGGAGGTGGTACCACAATGGTGCCTTGATTTTTGTAGGCTGGCGCTTTGATGAAGATAATTTTGTAGGTTTTCTTGGCTGGCACAGCGGGAAGATCGTATTTGGCTTCAATCACTTCATCCTCTTGTTCGGGAGCAGAGAAGAAGTATAAATGTTTGGAGACATCAGCTGCGGCACTTGCACTAGCACCAGCTGCGGCATCAGTTACAACTCCGAAAGATTCGTCGATACTTCCGCCGCTGGTTTGGCCTTGGTAGGCGCTGATGCCACCCAATCCAGAATTTTGCTGATGAGCGCCAAAGTTGAATGAAGCTCCACCAGTTTGACCCAAGCCGAAACCAGAACCAGAACTTCCTTGATTAGCATGAGCACCAAAATCAAAGGCAGCCCCATTACTGGCAATAGATGATTGGCCATTGACGCCACTGGCTGCTCCCGAGCCAAAACCAGAACTTCCTTGACTAGCACCGGCACCAAAATCAAAACTAGCCCCATTACTGACCGTAGATGATTGACCATTGAAGCCAAAACCAGAATTTCCTTGACTCGGACTTGCACCAACATTGAATGAGCTCAACGAAGGAGAGCCACTTCCAGTTGTTTGACTGTATTGTGAAGAAAACTGGTAAGCATTTGAAGGTTGTTGTTGTTGTTGTGAATATTGTACGAAATTCACTGAAGGCACGGATCCGTGTCCGACTACTGAACCTTGTGGGGCACCGTAACTGGATTGTGATGCTGGATTGTTGTATTGGTAGCCACCAGATAAATGGCTTACATCTGCGTTGGATAGGGCTGCGAGAGCCAAAAGCTGCAACAATGGAAGAAAATTGTTAAAAACACACATATTAAAAAATAATTTATACATAGAAATCTATTGAAGATTCCAAAAATTAAATAAATTAATCTACAATAAAATATTAACATTAACAAAGTGATTTTACGAGGCACTTTAAATAAAGTTTGATTAGTTTGTCTTGGCATAAACTTGTAAATTGAAGACATTGGTGTAAATTATTTCAAAAAAAACATAAATATTACCCTGGTACTTACTAGTAAGATCTTCATATTCACAACTAGATGATAATCAGTTACATGTGATCATTCAAACTAAAAATGATAAGTATTTATACAAAATCCCCACTAAAATCCGAAGACATCCTATTGTCAAGGTTGAATTAACATATTAATGAAAATCTTAAAAATAGTAAAATTCATCATCTCATAAGGTGAATTCGTTCACCTTTAATCTATTAAAGATTGACCGAAGCTTACGTAATCGTCTTGGCAATAAATTATTAAACAAACAGCAAGTGTGTGTGTGTTGTTTGTTGTTAATTGAAAAATGTATTACCAGGAGGCAAATCCATTGAACGAAATCAAAAGTGCCGATATTTATTTTGTTCAAAATTTTAACAATCGCTTGTTTATTTTCAATTAATTATTGAAATATTTGGATTAATTTGTTTGGCTATTATTAAATAAATAGGTAGGTACTTCGTTTTATTGTGTGCGTTCTTTTTTAGAGGATTATCCGGCATGTGAGTCAATGAATAATAAGGTAATTATAATTGATGGCGGAGTGGCTATTCATCAATTTTTATTTTTAATGAGTCAATCACAATCTATTTAGAAAAAAATTTCTTTATTTAGCCTAGAAAAAATACCAGAAGTGGGTCTCTAGAGTTTTTTGAATTGGTCTTTAATTGCAAGATCAAAATTTATTAAACCTTCACACAATTTTTAAATAAAAAGTAAAAATATACAGTGCGTTTCAGAAAATGGTGTCATCAAAATAAGAGAAAAAGTTCCTATTAATATGGGTCCAAGAACGTGTAGTTTCACTCGTTTCCAAATTATACAGGGTATTAAAAATTCGTGAGTGAGTATGTGGATCTTGATTACCATACGGCATGCATACACGGGCTAAATTGGATCAAAGTTACAAATTTTTTTGCTAACTAAAATACCGTTTCAAAATTTGAAAAATTCCGCGCGAATACTTCCGTAGATATTTGGAAAAAATAGAATATTATATTACTAGTGCAGAAAGTAACAAATTTCACACGAAAATTAGACGCTGTCTCACAAGTGATGCACACCATTTTTCATACGACCAGAAACGGATTTACAATAATTTTCTCTTATTTTTTTTTCATTTTCAACACATGTGCTGAAAGAAGAAGGTTATTAGTTATAAATGTCAGCCCCCTCTAGCTTTTTTTATTTGACATTTTAGAAAGAAGTGTTCCGAATTGAAAGTTTTATTTTTAATGGAATACCCTGTATATTATTGAATATTCGGATTCTACGTAAAAATTTAATCGATGTTTGAAAATTCCAATCAAATTCAATCTCTGGTTGAATTCGAAGTTGGTGTCAAATGATAGGTAGCTTATGAAAGTCTAAGAAAAAAATGTAATATTGGTTTTGCTCAAAAGTTAACCGTTTCAAATGTCCATATTATATTTCCAAAACAGTTGAACTTAAGTATAGGATATATCACATGGGTATTCCATTTAAAATGAGAAAGTTGGAGTACGACCAGCTTTTCTGAAACACCCTGTATAGGCGAAAGGGAGTTTTTCGAAAAAATTAATTTCAACCATTAAACTTTTATTTGAGACACTTTTTTCTAAAATGTCAAATAAAAAAGATAGAGGGGGTAGGGGAATGAAATTCATAACCAATAATAAGGGTGTTTCAAATTCGAGTCACATCATTGGGATCTCGGAAACGGTGAGAGATACAGGGTTGGTTAAATTCGTGCAAAGTTGCCTTTTATTATTATTATTATTATATGGCATTTATTGGCATTTAGTACAATATAGATTTTACAATCATTTTATAATTTGACAATAAATACAGAATTTCTCTCCCACAAGAGAAACCTCGCGCGTGGGGAAAAATATTACTATAATACATCTACTTTAAAAATAATTCTATGCTACATTACCTAATCTAAAAATGTTTCATAAATGAAAATGTAAATATAAGCTATATACTTATCATATTATCAAAAAAAAAAAAAAAATATATGCTAACTACTAATTACTAATTGGACGGATAATGTCCAATTGCTCAGTTATTCTTGACATCAACAATGTTGTGAATTTACTTTAAAAATAATTCTATGCTACATTACCTAATCTAAAAATGTTTCATAAATGAGAATGCAAATATAAGCTATATACCTATCATATAAGAAAAAAATATGCTAACTACTAATTACTAATTGGACGGATAATGTCCAATTGCCTAATTTGATACTTGACAAAATGCCGCTTTGATATAGGATGTTTGGACATTCAAATCTATTTGGACATTCAAATCAAAGGACCTCGCACACTTCTTATGGGATTTTGGTTGAACGCGGAATTCAACCAAATTTTGATATGTTGTATATTTCGACCTCCTGAGTAAAAGTTCTCATGGGTACAAACCGAACCTATGAGTAGTTTCGGATATACAGGGGGTTTTCTAATACTACCTTAGGCAACCTAAGTACCTATATAAAGTGTACATAGAGCAAAAAAACTTACAAGTATTGCTTTGAAAGTTGTTTATTTCATCTTTCCTTAACTAAAAATGTTTAGTAGGTGTTCGTAACTCTTCCTTTATATACCAGGGACGCTCAAAAACTATGGCTATTTCTAAGCTAAATGAGTTAATGACCACAAATGTTCAAGTGTGAAAAATTGTGTCCTCGTAGGTACTCAGGTACTTACGTTTTGTGATAAAAGTGAATTTCTATCTCAATGAATTCCAGTTCTCGCTACGCTTGTGCTAAAAACTTTTTGCCTCATGATCCCTTGGCCTAGGGTTTAAGTGTTTAGATATTAGGTATGCATACACTTGGTGATTTGTTTGAAAAATCTAAACAGCCATGGAAAGAAAAGCAATGGAAATTGTTTTTTCATATGTCATATCTCACTTGGTAACCATGGAAACCAAAACAGTGACCCTGTCAATAAAGCGAATTGTCTTTTTTGTCACCTTTCTTGTGAAAATGGCAGTTCGGGAAGCATGGAGGTAAGTAACATCCTGTTTAGCATTCGGTAATCCGTTCGACGACGGTTCGGTTTTTGAAATGTAACACCCGTGGTTGCATGGACGTGCGCTTTATCGAGTGTTACTTACCCTCGTTATTAAGCCTATTACCATCTTGTAAATAATTATTTTAGGGCATTGAAATATTAAAACATAAGTGCAAAATGTAATTAATATTGTTATATTAATATAAATTATATACTGTTCGTTCGAATTTAGCAGATAAAAACAATAAAAGAGTGAATATTTTTCGAAAAAAGCAGTTTTAGAGACGTAAATACAAATGCATACTCCAAAAACATTAAAGATAACTTAATTCTGAAACCAGATTTGAATTTGTAATAAAATTCTCTAAAGGTTTTCTTTATTTAACCAACCCTGTAGCTCTAGTCAAATCTGAGATACACTGTATACATACAGTAAGTTCGGCCAGGTAAGATATTATGGAAACCATAGACCTTACGGCTTCGGGATTTTTTTTCCTTCACTGAATCGGCCAAGAGAAATTGATGGAAATTTTTTTCAAGTTTCTAGGATTTCCGGTAGGGGGCGCAATTACGATGATCTAACTAAAAATTCAAATTTTCTCAAGAAATCGCTATATTAAGATACTGTTTTGATAGCAGAAATCGAAAGTTCATTAATTTTTGCGTCAGTTTGGTCTTTAAGCTTTTCTCGTATCTTCTGGGGGAAGCTGGTGAAAAAATAGTTCTAAAAATTGCTGTATCTTCTATACCCCTTATCCAAATTCATTCAATTTGGGCTTATTTAAAAGAGAATTTCATTGTTATTAAGAACACCACTTCATTCGGGGTCGATAGTTTCCACCGCGTCTTCTAGAGGGCGCTGTTTAACCAAGATCCAGTTTTTTCAAATTTTCTTGAAAAATCCAAATGGCATGATATTATTTTTTTATTGCTGTGCTTGAAGAGCAAAAAAATATCTACATTTTGGCACAAACCGCAATTCAATATCTGCATTTGTTTTCAAGTTAAGATGGTTTCCATAATATCGTACCTGGCCGACCTTAGTGGGACACCCTGTATATTATGTCGCAAAATAAATTTTACGCTGTTAATCTACATAGGGCCAATACTGTGTACCTATATATATTATTTACATAATTATATACCTTAAAACAAAAAGATAATACTTACATCCAGTTCTCCTTTTGTTTTAATTTTACCAACATACCTATTAAATAGGGAACTTTACTATTTTTTTTTTATTTTTTTAAATCATTTATTTATGCCTTAAAATATCATTCCCTAAAACTCAATAATAACTTGGTGAAAAATATTTAAAGTTTCGCGCGTATTAAAAGCATTTCAAACGATCTTAAATGTGCGCGAATCTGGATGACGTCACGTAGTATGATTTTGCGTCACCTTGTCGCCAAACGTTATACTTACTTCATTGTATTTAATTTGGTTGATTTCCACATTTTCCACCGTTATTTGTTTTGTTGTTGTTTTCTGTTGCAGCGAGTTGTAAATTTTGAAGTTATAATGGAAAACAAGATTCGCACATACAGAGTGAGTTTTATGTATGGAAACGCCCAATTATCTCAAAAACGGCTTGCTCGATTTTTATAAATTTTGGTATGTGAGGGTATTGTTATATGGCCGATATTATCGTGCCATTTACATGGTTGTCAGATCATTCGATTTTTGGCAACTATTAGGAACTTTGTTATTTCAAATGGATCACCCTGTATATTTTTCAGTTTTCGTAATCCCTGAATAATACTGAATATTTTTCATGAAATGTTTCCTATACCCAAATGCCTTAATTTAGGAATTATAGCTACATTTACATTAAAAACCGCAAAAGTTGAAATAATTCATTGGCTTGTCCCGCGTGATGAGAGCTCGTCGCGGGAGCGTCTCGTCATGTCTGTGCACACCTTAAGATCTCTATGACTACAAAAATAATAGCTTTCACGTTTCAGTAAATTATTATTTGTCAGTTTTCATTGAATGTGATAATGAATCGTTTATCTGAAAAAGAACGAATTGAGATTTTGATGATATTGGGATATGGTGATAGGCGTAGAAGTCAACAAGAAACGTGTGATATTTTCAATGATTTATATCCCAACCGCAATCCCATTACAAAATCAACTGTTAGTAAATTGCTTAAAAAGTTTACCCAAACTGCTGGAGTAAAAGATCTACCCAAATCAGGGCGCAGGAAGACTAAATCAACTGACAACAAATCTCTAGATGTTTGTGTCATGTTAGAAGACGATCCTCACTTGAGTACTAGGCAAATATCCAGGGAACTTGAAGTTTCTCAAACAACCGTGATGAGAATTCTGCATGGTAATAAATTCCATCCATACAAAGTGAGGTTGGTTCAGGAGTTGTCAGATGACGATTTTGATAGACGTGAGGAGTTTGCCGATACAATGATGAGAAAATGTTACGATCCAAACAATCCAAATTTTTTAAATAATGTTATGTTTAGCGATGAGGCCACTTTTCTTATCAATGGCAACGTAAATCGGCATAATTGTAGATACTGGTCTCGTAACAATCCTCATTGGATGCGTGAATCCCACACCCAATATCCCGAGAAACTGAATGTATGGGCTGGAATAATAGGCGACAGAATAATTGGAC